TTCGGTGATGTAAATAAGTGGGTTTCCGTAGTTTTTTCTGATGTGATTTAGAATCATACGGAATCCTGGAGGATAGTACACGAAGCTAGGAGCTTGAACGCCAATAGGAATTCCATTGCGATAATCTGAAACCAATTATAGAAAACCGAGATGAGCTAAAATATACATCTAAAATATATAAAAATAATTCGACAAACAAGTTTTGCATGCATACATCCAAGAGTAACTCCTGGATCGGTTATGGCACTAGGCAGTTTCGGAAGAGGTGCGTCGGTCGCATATTGTGTAACGTAATAGTTCAACCCTAGGAAATCAAGTGATCCTCTAACTAAATCCGATTGTGCAGGTGTGAATCTTGGCAGTCTATCTCCAACCATCTCTTTCATTATCTCTGGATAGTCTCCGTACACCAACGGATCCAAGAACCTAAATTCAATATATATTTTGAAAGTATGTTTTTTTATGACCAAAACTTTCTATATATAGATAGGTGATCTGAGAATTAATTTAATTGAACATATATACCATCCGACGATGAAAGCGAATGCCCGTCTCGAAGCAGCCTTGTCAAGATCGCTAGTTGCGTTTAGTGGGGTGAACCATCTTCCGATCAAAGTCGTTCCTATTTTACCACCTTGAAATTTCTGCAAAACGTTTTAGTTTATTTGTTTTTTGTTTTTCGTGTGGGTATAAATGTAAAATATTTTCTGCAAAGGATTATAAACATACAACACAAAAGTATATAAAAAAAATTGATTTCGAAAGAAACTAATTTATGATTGGTTTACCTGATATTTTGCTCGGTATAAAGCTACAGTTTCTGCATGAGCTAGAAGTTGATGATGTGCAACTTTATAAGGTTCGGTTCCGGAATTTCCTCCAAATTCACAGCCGGTGCACCGTCCCGGTGGATACGATCCATCCCCATAACCTTTGGTTGAAAGAGAGAAAGGTTGGTTCAAAGTGATCCAAAATTTGACTCTGTCACCGAATCTTTGGAATAGAAGCTCCGCGTAGTTTCTGAAATCGTCCCTGTTCATACATATTAAACATGTATAGGTTTGATTATGCAATATACATATAACCAAAATCCAAAGAATTAAACCGAGTTAATTTAGAATAAATAAATAAAAATTAGTTAAGGGACTTACACTATACGTGGGCTTAAGAACCCTTTGTATTCGTCTTCCAAAGTTTGGGGAACATCCCAATGAAATATAGTCACATATGGTTCTATGCCTGTGGATCCCAAGTAAAGTAAGTGTAAATCTCTGTATCACAAATATAACAAAATGATGAAAATCGGATTATTAAATTTGGAATTTACCATTTGCTTTTAACTCGTTGATGAGATTGTTGTAGTATGCTATACCATTCTCGTCCACTTTTCCAGTTCCCTCTAATATTAGTATATGTAATTACAAAGTTCAGCCATAGTATAATATTTTACGAATTCTTTTGATGAACAAAAGGAGATGTGTTTTTGTATTTACTTGGTAAGACCCTTGACCATGCTATTGAGAATCGGTATGCTTGAACCTTCATTCTTTTTAGTAGCGCGACGTCCTCCTGTTGAGGTTATATGAAAGTTGTAAAGTTAAATTAGGTTTCAAAAATGTAATATATATGCGTTGATCATCACTAATTGATAACCTCTTCTTCTCTCACCTTATAAAGATTATACGAATCACAAGCAAGGTCTCCTGAACTGTTATCTGGAACTTTTTCTGTATGAAACAAAGCAAGATATGAGCATGACTCGTACTTAATTCTAATATTCATACATGCGATCGAGGTGCGTGTTAATAACGCATGCAGTACGTAAATGACCTGGATATCTATGTGTGTAATAGTCCCATCCATTAAGTGCTCTATGTGCTGCACCTTCAATCTGGTAGAACAAATAAAATCGATCATATATTGGACAATTTTAGAATGAGTTCTTTATTAATGACAAATATTACAGAGAGAAATCGATGTCCAAAAGTCACTATGATATATGTTATCTATACCTGGTATGCAGAAGTAGCCGCACCAAAAATGAAGTTCTTTGGGAATCCATTTCGGTTGAATGTAAGAGTATCGTTGCAGTGGAAAGGTTCTTTAGCCTTGCATTCTGGATTGCAGACCTGTTGGCTACTCGAAACGGCAAAGAGAATTACAAGGATGGCTAAAGAGTAGAGAGCTTTTGGAATTGCCATGGATGAGAGATCTATATGGTTTAGTTTTTGCTTTCCTTTATGGCTTGTGTAAGCTTAATTTGATGATGATTATATGATGAACTTGGAGGGCTTTATATAGAAGGGTTTGCGTGCATGCATGGGGCTTGCATGGAGATTGAAGTAAACTCATTTCCTTGCGTATATTTTGATTCAACTTATTTGATCCTCTCCATGTTCTCCACCTCGCTGTCTTGTTTTCTTATTTAAAAATTACGTTTAATCAAATACTGAGCTATCCCTAATAGAATAATTGTTCGACACTTCGAGTTTTATGTACGTCATCATAATTCTCACGCATATTTACGTAGAATTCGTATATAGCTTCACACGATATATACCTGTACATGCCTGCGTGAGAATATATGTTCCTTGGTTATAATTTATATGCCATTTATTATTTCAATCAAACTTAAAATTTATGTACTATTCATTTTGTAATCATTTTTAATCTTTGCCAAACTCCTTGGAGATTTAAGTTTCGTTTCCCTTCTCCTTTAGCTTACATTATAGTCAGCAGCAACCTTCCTCCCATAAGCAAAATATGATGTTTTTGAATATTAAATTACAAACCCTATTTTAAGTAAACATGAGTTTTTCTTCTTATAACTCTACATGAATTTTTGATATTTTACATTATGGTCAGCAGCAACCTTACTTTCATAAGCAAAATATGACTTTCGAATATTATACTGCAAACCCTATTTTAAGGAACACTGTTACGAATTTGATATATTATTACTTTGAAAAACAATAATTTTTTTAACTTATCAATGCAAAAATTTCAATTTACACGAAGAATTACTAATAAAACAACTTATGTCATATATTAATCTGATACATTTTAGGTTTAATGAGAAGCAAAGCATTTAACATACAAACAAAAGGTTTTTTTTTTGTTTTTATTTTTATTATCACTTGTATAATTTAATATTTTATAATTTGTTAAAAAGAAAACATAATATAATAGGAAAACAAATTATTTCAAACTTGATATAAAATAAATTAAGACTGATAATGCCAATGCAAAACTTTCGAAAGAAAAACATAACACTTATTCATTTACAGTTTTCTATAGTTTCATTTCCAAAAAATAATAATTAAGCACATAATTTCAAATAATTAGTTTTTTTCTTCCATACTTCTATTTGAAATAGGTTTATTCTTTTTATTTACATTTTTTTATTAAATGAATGTCAAATTTGTTCAATCAAAAAGCCTTTTGTATATCAAGTATTACATAATTTGAGAGTTTGTTTTTGAAAAATTTAGAACACGAACAAGCTATACTCTTGTGGAAAACAGTGTGTGAGGCTTCCCGGTCCCCTAGTGGCCGTATTGAGCTTAGTCAATTCCGAACAATCTTGTCGATGATTTTTACAAGCTGCACAAGTGGTTTACTAGCTTCTCCATGTCTTCTTCTGTTTCTCTCTCGCCAAGACCATAAACTATTGCTTGGAACACATATCTTAGGGCCAAAGAATTAATGGATACGACCCATCGGGAGATTTACAATCCTATCAACATCATCCCATCCGGTGGAAAAATCAGCATTAAGGATCCGTCTGGCCAAAGATTCTCTCATACTTGCGCCGAGTATTGACATGAAAAGAAGGTGTTGCTTTGTCTCTTGTGAGTGTTGGCATAAGACACAAGTTGCATCAACATACGATCTCCCGTTGCTAACCTATTATGCATCACAATCCAAGTGAAAAACTAGTATTTAGGCGCTGCATGAGTGAACCAGCGTTAACCCAGTCACATCTTGGATGTTCTTCCCTAATGAGATTCCATGCATGTGGCTTTTTATTTACATTTTATCTACTCATATATCTATATTTATTTCTCAAAATATTTAGTGTTAAAGTGACACATTCTAAGTGGTGGGACTTATCAGCGATCGTGTCGATCCTCGTGTGTTACCGAATTCTCTTCTTCATAGTACTGTTGAAGCTTAAGGAGAGAGCAGAGCTGGCATTGAAGGCCTTACAAGCAAAAAGAACGATGAAGAGTCTCCCATCTCTATCTTCGTTATCTTCAAGGAGACACTACGTTCACTTTCTTCCCAACAAGGTCTTACCTCTCCAATCAATTAAAGATTATATCTATATATGTGTATACACTTTGTTTCTTGATTTGATTTGCACATACAATAGTTTCAACATTTATCAATATGTATTAATTAATCAGCACCCACCCGATGATTCTATATATGATTCAACATTTTCATTTTTGGAGAATCAATGAACTCTAATCTGAAATTTTTCATAATTATTTTACTTTGCTTAGATGGTATACTTAGCAAGAGTACTGTAGATAGAACAAGAACAAGAACAACACAAGCTTAATATAAATTTGGATATGTTTATATATTGACCAAAAACTAAGGTCAAATTATTACAACGTGCACTGACAACGACACATAAAAGCTTTAATTAAATGGTATACAATACATATAGTACGTACGTACAATAGCTATTAGATTTGGAGGTTGGATACATGTACATCTATCGCCATGGCCCTTTTTATTTTGCGACGAATCTAGAGAACCATTTGCCAGAATCCTTTTCTCTTCGATCCATAGGATTAGTGAAGTTGACCCAGTTCATACCAAACCGGAGAGTGTAACCATTTCCGAATTCGTAATTGTCCATCAATGACCATGCAAAATATCCTTTCACGTTGGATCCCTCGCTAGAATACATATTCATGTACATTAGCATTATTAATTCTCAAAAAAGAAGTAAATAGAATAGAACGTTCGCGAGTTATATATATAACTCACTCGATTGCGCATTTGAGACACGAAAGATGGCTGCAATGATTTTGAATTCGTCCGTTGTCGGCAAGAGCATCCGGAAGCGTTAAGTTTCCAAAATCAGCAACTCCTGAAAAACACAAGATTCGATAATAAACATACGTATCAAATGGTTAATCATACATTTGGATGCAGTGCAAAATGAAATGTACGTACCATTTTCGGTGATGTAAATAAGTGGGTTTCCGTAGTTTTTTCTGATGTGATTTAGAATCATACGGAATCCTGGAGGATAGTACACGAAGCTAGGAGCTTGAACGCCAATAGGAATTCCATTGCGATAATCTGAAACCAATTATAGAAAACCGAGATGAGCTAAAAATATACATCTAAAATATATAAAAATAATTCGACAAACAAGTTTTGCATGCATACATCCAAGAGTAACTCCTGGATCGGTTATGGCACTAGGCAGTTTCGGAAGAGGTGCGTCGGTCGCATATTGTGTAACGTAATAGTTCAACCCTAGGAAATCAAGTGATCCTCTAACTAAATCCGATTGTGCAGGTGTGAATCTTGGCAGTCTATCTCCAACCATCTCTTTCATTATCTCTGGATAGTCTCCGTACACCAACGGATCCAAGAACCTAAATTCAATATATATTTTGAAAGTATGTTTTTTTATGACCAAAACTTTCTATATATAGATAGGTGATCTGAGAATTAATTTAATTGAACATATATACCATCCGACGATGAAAGCGAATGCCCGTCTCGAAGCAGCCTTGTCAAGATCGCTAGTTGCGTTTAGTGGGGTGAACCATCTTCCGATCAAAGTCGTTCCTATTTTACCACCTTGAAATTTCTGCAAAACGTTTTAGTTTATTTGTTTTTTGTTTTTCGTGTGGGTATAAAATGTAAAATATTTTCTGCAAAGGATTATAAACATACAACACAAAAGTATATAAAAAAAATTGATTTCGAAAGAAACTAATTTATGATTGGTTTACCTGATATTTTGCTCGGTATAAAGCTACAGTTTCTGCATGAGCTAGAAGTTGATGATGTGCAACTTTATAAGGTTCGGTTCCGGAATTTCCTCCAAATTCACAGCCGGTGCACCGTCCCGGTGGATACGATCCATCCCCATAACCTTTGGTTGAAAGAGAGAAAGGTTGGTTCAAAGTGATCCAAAATTTGACTCTGTCACCGAATCTTTGGAATAGAAGCTCCGCGTAGTTTCTGAAATCGTCCCTGTTCATACATATTAAACATGTATAGGTTTGATTATGCAATATACATATAACCAAAATCCAAAGAATTAAACCGAGTTAATTTAGAATAAATAAATAAAAATTAGTTAAGGGACTTACACTATACGTGGGCTTAAGAACCCTTTGTATTCGTCTTCCAAAGTTTGGGGAACATCCCAATGAAATATAGTCACATATGGTTCTATGCCTGTGGATCCCAAGTAAAGTAAGTGTAAATCTCTGTATCACAAATATAACAAAATGATGAAAATCGGATTATTAAATTTGGAATTTACCATTTGCTTTTAACTCGTTGATGAGATTGTTGTAGTATGCTATACCATTCTCGTCCACTTTTCCAGTTCCCTCTAATATTAGTATATGTAATTACAAAGTTCAGCCATAGTATAATATTTTACGAATTCTTTTGATGAACAAAAGGAGATGTGTTTTTTGTATTTACTTGGTAAGACCCTTGACCATGCTATTGAGAATCGGTATGCTTGAACCTTCATTCTTTTTAGTAGCGCGACGTCCTCCTGTTGAGGTTATATGAAAGTTGTAAAGTTAAATTAGGTTTCAAAAATGTAATATATATGCGTTGATCATCACTAATTGATAACCTCTTCTTCTCTCACCTTATAAAGATTATACGAATCACAAGCAAGGTCTCCTGAACTGTTATCTGGAACTTTTTCTGTATGAAACAAAGCAAGATATGAGCATGACTCGTACTTAATTCTAATATTCATACATGCGATCGAGGTGCGTGTTAATAACGCATGCAGTACGTAAATGACCTGGATATCTATGTGTGTAATAGTCCCATCCATTAAGTGCTCTATGTGCTGCACCTTCAATCTGGTAGAACAAATAAAATCGATCATATATTGGACAATTTTAGAATGAGTTCTTTATTAATGACAAATATTACAGAGAGAAATCGATGTCCAAAAGTCACTATGATATATGTTATCTATACCTGGTATGCAGAAGTAGCCGCACCAAAAATGAAGTTCTTTGGGAATCCATTTCGGTTGAATGTAAGAGTATCGTTGCAGTGGAAAGGTTCTTTAGCCTTGCATTCTGGATTGCAGACCTGTTGGCTACTCGAAACGGCAAAGAGAATTACAAGGATGGCTAAAGAGTAGAGAGCTTTTGGAATTGCCATGGATGAGAGATCTATATGGTTTAGTTTTTGCTTTCCTTTATGGCTTGTGTAAGCTTAATTTGATGATGATTATATGATGAACTTGGAGGGCTTTATATAGAAGGGTTTGCGTGCATGCATGGGGCTTGCATGGAGATTGAAGTAAACTCATTTCCTTGCGTATATTTTGATTCAACTTATTTGATCCTCTCCATGTTCTCCACCTCGCTGTCTTGTTTTCTTATTTAAAAATTACGTTTAATCAAATACTGAGCTATCCCTAATAGAATAATTGTTCGACACTTCGAGTTTTATGTACGTCATCATAATTCTCACGCATATTTACGTAGAATTCGTATATAGCTTCACACGATATATACCTGTACATGCCTGCGTGAGAATATATGTTCCTTGGTTATAATTTATATGCCATTTATTATTTCAATCAAACTTAAAATTTATGTACTATTCATTTTGTAATCATTTTTAATCTTTGCCAAACTCCTTGGAGATTTAAGTTTCGTTTCCCTTCTCCTTTAGCTTACATTATAGTCAGCAGCAACCTTCCTCCCATAAGCAAAATATGATGTTTTGAATATTAAATTACAAACCCTATTTTAAGTAAACATGAGTTTTTCTTCTTATAACTCTACATGAATTTTTGATATTTTACATTATGGTCAGCAGCAACCTTACTTTCATAAGCAAAATATGACTTTCGAATATTATACTGCAAACCCTATTTTAAGGAACACTGTTACGAATTTGATATATTATTACTTTGAAAAACAATAATTTTTTTTAACTTATCAATGCAAAAATTTCAATTTACACGAAGAATTACTAATAAAACAACTTATGTCATATATTAATCTGATACATTTTAGGTTTAATGAGAAGCAAAGCATTTAACATACAAACAAAAGGTTTTTTTTTTGTTTTTATTTTTATTATCACTTGTATAATTTAATATTTTATAATTTGTTAAAAAGAACAACATAATATAATAGGAAAACAAATTATTTCAAACTTGATATAAAATAAATTAAGACTGATAATGCCAATGCAAAACTTTCGAAAGAAAAACATAACACTTATTCATTTACAGTTTTCTATAGTTTCATTTCCAAAAAATAATAATTAAGCACATAATTTCAAATAATTAGTTTTTTTCTTCCATACTTCTATTTGAAATAGGTTTATTCTTTTTATTTACATTTTTTTATTAAATGAATGTCAAATTTGTTCAATCAAAAAGCCTTTTGTATATCAAGTATTACATAATTTGAGAGTTTGTTTTGAAAAATTTAGAACACGAACAAGCTATACTCTTGTGGAAAACAGTGTGTGAGGCTTCCCGGTCCCCTAGTGGCCGTATTGAGCTTAGTCAATTCCGAACAATCTTGTCGATGATTTTTACAAGCTGCACAAGTGGTTTACTAGCTTCTCCATGTCTTCTTCTGTTTCTCTCTCGCCAAGACCATAAACTATTGCTTGGAACACATATCTTAGGGCCAAAGAATTAATGGATACGACCCATCGGGAGATTTACAATCCTATCAACATCATCCCATCCGGTGGAAAAATCAGCATTAAGGATCCGTCTGGCCAAAGATTCTCTCATACTTGCGCCGAGTATTGACATGAAAAGAAGGTGTTGCTTTGTCTCTTGTGAGTGTTGGCATAAGACACAAGTTGCATCAACATACGATCTCCCGTTGCTAACCTATTATGCATCACAATCCAAGTGAAAAACTAGTATTTAGGCGCTGCATGAGTGAACCAGCGTTAACCCAGTCACATCTTGGATGTTCTTCCCTAATGAGATTCCATGCATGTGGCTTTTTTATTTACATTTTATCTACTCATATATCTATATTTATTTCTCAAAATATTTAGTGTTAAAGTGACACATTCTAAGTGGTGGGACTTATCAGCGATCGTGTCGATCCTCGTGTGTTACCGAATTCTCTTCTTCATAGTACTGTTGAAGCTTAAGGAGAGAGCAGAGCTGGCATTGAAGGCCTTACAAGCAAAAAGAACGATGAAGAGTCTCCCATCTCTATCTTCGTTATCTTCAAGGAGACATGTGTATACACTTTGTTTCTGATTTGATTTGCACATACAATAGTTTCAACATTTATCAAGTATGTATTAATTAATCAGCACCCACCCGATGATAATCTATATATGATTCAACATTTTCATTTTTGGAGAATCAATGAACTCTAATCTGAAAATTTTTCATAATTATTTACTTTGCTTAGATGGTATACTTAGCAAGAGTTTACAAGAACAACACAAGCTTAATATAAATTTGATATGTTTATATATATGTAAGGTCAAATTATACAA